AAAAAAAAAAAAAAAAAAAAAAAAAAAATAAATTAATTAATTATTTTTTTAAAAAATGAGCTGGACCCATGGGGCACACACCAAGTGGGCAGAGCAGCCACGTGCCAATGAAGTGCCAGTTCACTGCAAAGGCAGCGCCAGACCCTGTCTCCCAGGGCCCTGACCTAGCCCTGCCACACGCCTTACCTCAGCCATGGCTACAGCACCCCTTTCAGTGAAGGTATTGTCATTCAGGTTGATGACCCGCAACAGGGGGTTGATAGCAAAAGCCTGGGCCAGGGCAGTGACGCCAGGGTGATTGATCCCATTCTGTGGCATGTGGACCTCCTCCAGAGTCCCGATGATCTGCGTGAGCAGGAGGGAAAGAGTGGAGAGATGGGCTCCCGAGTGCCACTGACATCCAGGAGGCAGGAGAGCAGTAGCACACATCAGGCATGGGGAGGGGCAGCCATCAGCATTGGGCAGGGGCTTGTCTGTGGGTTTTTGGGCACAGATCTCAAAGCACACTTTTGAGCATGGCTACACCTGATCCTCTCCACAACCGCATGAGGGAGACCTATGTGGGATTAGGATCCCCCCCAGAAAGAGAAGACTAAGGATCAGAGAGGCTAAGTGACTTGCCCACGGTCACACAGCTGTGAAGTAGGAGGCCTAGAACTAGAACATAGATTTCTTAGTCTGGTGTCTGCACTGTGGGGACCTGGACTCTGGCAGTCAGTCATGGTCCTCTGAATAATACAGTTCCACCTGACCTTTCCTTCTTGGGGCCCTCCTACCTTATCGGCACAATATAACCAGCATTCTACATGCCATGTCTTTTTTGGGGGAAGAGGAGGGTCTTCCCTGATGCACCTGGCCTTTTTCATCCTGGCCTTTGACATCTCACTCTTTCTGCCTGAAAACACTGTCTCCGTATTTGTTGGCATTTTCCTGATAGGGTAACTCATATGCTCTTAACATTCTACAGCTCTTGTTTTGGACACTCCCCAAAAAGGCTTCCTGGATTCCCCAGCCAGGGTTCAGTGCTCTTCCTCTGTGCAGCAGAGCACCCGGTTCTATCATGGCATTCTTCATCCTGGAATTCAAAGCCTAGATTCTTGTCTGCACCGCATCAGCCCCTGAGCTCTTGAGGAGAGTCCCACGTCCCAGTCTCCACTGCTACCAGGGATTGAGGATAGGCCTGGCCTAACTGTGCACCTTTAGCTGTCCCTGGGCACTCAGAATCATAAATATAGGAAGACCAACTGAGGCGTATTAGAGGCCAGGGCTTCTTAATAGTTTCTGTGCCATGGGCCCTTCGGGCAGTCTGGTGAAGCCCCTGGATCCCCTCCTGAGAAAAATGTTTTTGAATTTTAAAATAAATTATACAGAATTACAAATGAAATCAATTCAACTGGAAGTTATCAAAACATTTAGGGGAAAAAACCCAAATGTTTGCTAAAGTAATATATGTATTTTTTATAAACACCCTGAATAACAAGATAGGGGCAGGTCTGTGATCACTGTAACTTTAATGAAGTGTGCAGCAGACATCTCTACATGTCTGAAGCAAGTATAATCTGATATAAAACACCCAATTTCTAGTGGTGAGAAAGTCACAGGAATTTTTAATGCTGCTGAGGTTTATTGTCTACATTCACAATTTAAGGTCATACAATATTTTAGCTATTTTAGGGATAACAATGATGCAATATTCCCCCATCTATGTTCACAGACCCCCTGAATTCTATCCACAGACTGGGGGGACCCTGGGTTAAGACCCCATTCTAACCATACCAGAGAACAACTTACAAAGGTTCAGTATGACCACAGCATACCAATTCCCAGTGCTCCAAGGACAGCAACAAGTCCCCCTCCAACTCCAGAGAAGGAGGCAAGGGCTCCCCTGCAGCCAGGGGTCCAGGGAGACACAGGTAGACATCTGCAATATCCATGCCCCACTGAGGTGGGTGAGGAGTCTTTCAAGGTGGCTTCAGCAAAGAGGCCACTCTCAGAGGCAGGACTGGAGGGGATGTTACTTTGGCCTGGGTATGGTTAATGCTGCTAGAATGTTTGCCAAAGAAAACATTAAAATTAAGAGAAGAGGGGGACAGACCCCAAAGTTCCCAGTCCTGAGGTGTGGCCCTCTCCTGGAGCTCCCCATCAGGGACCGAGCAGTGTCCAGAGGGGATGGGGAGAGGATGAGAGTGGGGACAAGTTCTCCTGAGAGCACTTCATCTGTCACCTGGGCCTCTTGGTTGCTCCTGCCTGTCTCCCTATTGCAAGGGCAGTCTGATATGTTCCTTCCCCGTGCCCCCTATGCTGGGGAGCATGCCAGGCTACAGTCAGCACACACACTTCTTGCACCAGCACTTCTGAGCCTGGCAGATGGCACGCCCTGATCAGAGCAGCCTGCCCTGCCTGAAGCTTTGCAGGGAGCTGCTGCCAACTCACCTGAGGCAGTAAATCACACACCTTTCCAGGCACGCACGATGGGAGTTCTGGCCCACCTAAGGGTGAACTAACAGACTCAGAGAGTGGAAGCCACTTGCCTCAGGGCCCTCAGCACTGGGATTCCTATCCAAGACGGTAGACCTGCTAGGCCTGGCCCACCCAGTGCCTGGTGGGGCAGGATGGACAGAACCACTCACCCCAAAAGCTTCTGCCAAGGCAGTGGCTCCGTCATTCTCTAGACGGTTTCTGCCAGCCACAAAGACCTTCAGGGCTAGCGGCTTGCCTTGGGCACTGGATTTCCGGTGACACTCAGTCAGAGCCGCTGCCAGGATCTGTGGGGAAAGGTAAGGGGTACAGGCTGTGGGCAAGAGGCCCTTCTCCCAGCAGGGCAGCCAGTTCCTCTGAATTGCTATTCAACATCCCATGCCACCCACAAGGGGACACAGAACTGCTAAAAGCACAATGGTCACAACACACACGTGTACCCAACTTTACAGTTTACAAAGGGCTTTTACATCTGCTACTTTGTGTGTCACAGGCTGTGGAGTTTAGTTTCACTTTCAAGAAAGGGAGACCAAGGCCTACGGAGAAAAGGGAGAGATCAACACTGAGTGGACGAACTCTAAGCCAGGTCCAGGGGAGAGACTTCCCACTTAGCTCACTTGACTGTCACAAGCCCTCCGCTGGGTGCGATCACCAAGATTACCATTTTCCAGCTAAAGAAGCTCGGGCTCAGAGAGGGACAGAAACCTTCCCATGGTGACTAAGCAAGTGATAGACTTGAGCAGAGCCCAAATCCTCCAGCTTCTCTTCCATGCTCCACAACACCCACAGGAGCTGGCTGGTGAGACCAGGGCCCAGCTGCCCCTGTCTGATACTGACTGTGCCCAGGCCAGCCAGGCACACGTGGGCCCCACCTGCAGGGGATAAAAACCTAAAACCCAGGGCCGGCCCGTGGCTCACTCGGGAGAGTGTGGTGCTGATAACACCAAGGCCACGGGTTCGGATCCCATATAGGGATGGCTGGTTCACTCACTGGCTGAGCGTGGTGCTGACAACACCAAGTCAAGGGTTAAGATCCCCTTACTGGTCATCTTTAAAAAAAAAAAAAAAAGGGGTTGAGATGATGGAAGCAAAATTGTGGGGAGAATTTAGGCATTGGCAAAGTGGTCTGGGTGGAATAAGTCTTGAAAACTTATATGGAGTCATTTTTTCTCCACCTTGTGTGATCATAATCATCACATGAGTGCTTTGAGAAATACACATTTTCTCTGGGTCCTTCTGAAATTGAGTTGTGAAAATTTGTATTTTCAAAAGCTCCCTATTTGAGTCTCATGAGCTGCAGGTTTGGGAAACAGTGGGTTCGTAGTGGTTGGTGAGTGATCAAATTGAGCACAACTTGATGTTATAAAGAGCTCTTGTATTAAGGGCCTGAGGAGTCCATTCATCCATTCATTCCTTGACTCTCCATTCACAAACATTTATTGGAAACCTGGGGGTAGCTTCTATCCTGTTACACCAACAGGCAATGCATTTCAAAACACTGATTGGTTGGTGGGAATCAGAGCCCATGGTAAACATGACATAAAAGATTCACAAGTAAGTGCTTGTAGGAGAGAAATAACACTTACAGACCACCTACTAGGTCCTGAGCACTCTCAACAAGCAAGATATTTTCACATGTTCTTGTTTCAACCTCAAAACTAGCCTGGGAGACATGTGGTACTGGCCTTACTTTACAAACGAGGAAGCTGAGGCTCAGGGAGGTAAATGACTTGGCTAAGGTCACAGAACAAACACTCAGCAGAGCAGAAAATAGCAGGCAGGTTGGCCTGACTCCTGGCTTAAGACTACACAGCTGTTCTGGAGGAATGTAAGGGCCACCCACCTGCCTGACTCCATGGTGGTAATGGTGGGTTGTGTGTAGGCTCAGTGCAGAGGCATGAGCTGCTGCTGCAGACCAGCCTCTGAGGAATCTTCTCAGAGGTGGCAACCAACTGTGTTAGCTCACCCCCATTCTCCCTGATTCCCCTCTGGGGTCACCATGCTGAGGGCCTTAGCTCCTGCAGGAGTCCAACATGGAGACACATTCTGGGTGGAGACTTCCCAAGCACAGGACCACATGCACATTCCCCATCAAATCCTCTGGGCCCCTCCTATTCCCATGGGGTGTGGCACACGGACCACACTTAATATATACTCATACTACCTGGAGAGACAGATTCCAAAAGACCTGCAGGCCTTGGTTAGATACCCAGACCTTGGCATCTGCAGCTCCGAGGAGGGGAGGTTGGCAAGGCCAGGACCCAGAGGCCTTATCCAATCAGGGGTGAGGGAGGCAACAGAGCTACAAGTCAAATTCCAGGGTGAGCTGGTCTGTCAGGGAGGACCCTGGCCTGGGGTTCAAACTCTCTGCTTCCCCGAGTCATCCCGCCCACTGAGCCTTATTTTCCTGGCACTGCCATGTGGTAGAAGTAACAAGACGGAAGGAAAACCAGAGCACTTTACAACAGTGTCTCCAGCTCTCCCAGCACATCCCACCCACTCCAGGTCAGGCTGCACCTGTTTTCTGTGCTGCTGTGAACACTTACATGATATCTTAACACATGGACAGCTTATCGCCCAATTAGACCAAGTGGAAGGCTGGCTGAGACAGGCACGGCATGCCCCTGCTCTCCCTCCCAGGGCCAGAGGGCGACAGGGACCCTGAAGGCGGGAGCACGCTGGCTGCTCAGCCTGGGCAGCACAAGCCTCACACGGCTCCTCTTACTGCTCAGAATGGAACCTCGTGGATGACGGCCCCAGTTCCACAGCCGTCCCTCACTAGCTATGTAATCCACTCAACCTCCACCTCTAAGCCCAAGTTTACTCATGTGGAAACATGGGGTAGCTTAATATATCTTCAAAAAGATGTCCCCAATCACTATTAGTTCCTTGTGTCCCAGCCCTTTTCTCCCCTCAGTCAAAATGTGTGTGTGGTGGCAGGGAGCAGACTAGCACTCAGCATCTCTCAGCTGTGGGTCTAGAGGAGCCAGGAAGAACCTAGAAGAGAACAGTGAGAGCTGGCCCCCCCAACCCCCAGTGCAGGCTCTGGGCAGCACCCCAGGAAAGGCCCTGTCCAGGAATCAAGGGGAGCTGGGTCCACGTCACCCTCAGGGACACATTTCTTTTTCTGGTTCCCATCCTCCATGTGCCCCAGGCCTCGCTCTGCCAGTTGGTCTGAGGGTGCAGTGAGTGTAGGAATGCCCTAAGCCCTGTGTTCTGCAGAGTAGCAGGTCAGAGCGGGCATGCAGCAGCACTGCCGCTGCGTTGCCAAGCCAACGCCACCACTGGGATGGTTGCTTGGCAACCCCACCCTCACCAGCTCTTCTCCCCACTGGCCATAGGCTGCTGCCTTTGAGGCCCTTCTCCTTTAAAGAGAAAAATGACAGGCCAATGATCCCAGATGGCAATGAGTGAGGGCAGGAGCACAGACTACAGACAGATGGGGGGGGGCGGTACCACACCCACCTTGCCACCGCCAATGCCCATGCCACAGTTGTTGAGCTTGAGCTCATGCAGGGTGAAGCAGGCTGAACTCTTGAGCAGGACCTCGAAGCCTCGCACACCATCAGGCCCAAACGCATTGTCACTTAGGTCCAGCTCCACCAGCTGGGCCCCAGCTGTGATGAGTCCCTCCCCTAGTGAAATCTGGGCACAGAGGGAGTTCAAGTTAGTTTCACAGACACCTACCAGGTGCTGCTTCTGTGCCAGGCCCAGTCCCACCTTCAGGTGGCATCCAGGCTAGAGGGGAACCGGCACAGACACAGACCTTTTCAGTACAGAGTTTTCCTTATTATACACCCAAGACTGTAAACCCTGCAGAGGGAGTGGGACCCGTGGCGGGGGGCAGGTCTGGAAAGGCTCCCTCTAGGAGGTGACATCTGAGCTCAGTGTGGATGAGAATTGGCCAGTTGACATAAGATTCCAGGCAGCAGTAAAAACATGAGCAGAGAGAGCTGAGCACCAAGCAGCACGCTGTGTGCGTGGGGGGCAAGCAGTCAGCAGACCCCAGAAGAGATGAGGCACGGGCTGTGGCTGGAAGGGAAGCGAGGGGTCAAATCAGGCAGGAGCCTTGAACACCGGGCCAGGAACTATGAACGTGAGCCTGACAGCAACAGGCTCAGGAGGTGGCTGAGGGATATGTTAGAAACATCCCCGAGCCTGAGGAGAGCAGACTGCTGGGCTGAGGGAGGCTGGAGGCCGAGTGTCCACCTGGGAGTGCGAAGCAGCAGTGCAGGCAACAGAGGAGAGGGAGGAGAGGAAGCTGAGCCTGCTCACAGGGAGGGGACCCTGCAGAAGCCAGGGGCTCCCTGGAGGTGCAGGAGGCAGGGGGAGGCACCAAAAGATGCCTCCAAGGTTTCTGGTGGTGACTGGGCAGATGGAAGTGGCCCTCTCCAAGCCATGGCCCCAGACTAGATTTGGCAGGAGGATACTGAGCTCTCCTGGGACACCTACAGCCCCCAGGAGAAATGGTCAGAGGAAAGGAGGCTCTGCACTTAATATATACTCAT